CGATTCAAGTCTCTATAATCCACACACATTCTTACTTGTCCATTTTTCTTTGGTATAGGGACAATGTTCGTCACCCACTCAGGATAATTAGATATTGTAAGGAACCCTGCATCAATTTGCTTCCTTACTTCATCCTTTATCTTGATCAACATATCTGGCCTCATTTTCCGTAACTTCTGTCTCACCTGCTTGAACTCTGGGTTGATCGGCAATTTGTGCACTACGATGTCTGTATCTAAACTAGGCATATCCTGATAGGACCAAGCAAAAACATCAGTATACTCATGAAGTAACTATATCAACTTTTTGCGAGTCTCTGAAGACATATGAGTGCCTATTTTAATCTCTTTGGCTTCGGCTTTTGATCCCAAGTTAATTGTCAGTTAATTCTTCATGGGGTCCCAACATCTTTTCTTCTTCTTCTAGCATTCTCAATAACTCAGCAGAGGGCTCGTCATCTATTTCCTCATCAGATTCAATATCGTATATAGGTGTATCGAGCTTGTATTTCGAATCATTATCGCATTCAATCTCAGTATTACTGTTTAAGACATAATAAAGGAGAAAAGAAAAGAAACAGAAATAAATGAATAAATTGGCCCAGAGAATAGTAGAGGAAAGAAACAAAGTGAATGAACTCAAACTTTATTGATATGGAAGAATTATAAACAAATAATAGGTTTGGATGGAATGTACAGGAAATAGAAAATTAATTTAATTAATTAAGAAAATGAGGGGAAGGAAAAAAATGGACAATTACTTTGGTTTATTATTTACAAAAGACGATAGCTCTATCACGCTCCAATTGCTCAGCTCGGAACCGTCTGGGCACGGGTAGACAAAAGGTCTGACTTGCTCTCTTTCTTCTGTCACTGCTGCCACTACAGAGCTCTCATCGTACTCCTGATGGATTGTGCCGGCACTTCTGAAGAAGTGGCTGCGAGGTGGAATAGTCCTCCTAGGGTAATCACGCTCCTCATTCTAAAATCTTGATAGGCATTTTGCTTTTTCCAGACTTCGCACTCTAATGATGTCGCCTCTACTTGGTTTATACCCCAACCCGAACTTCTTTGTATTCTTAGCCATCATCAGCAGTTTGTCTAAGCTCCCATTGTCTCCTTTAAAGGCGGTCTCTAAAAGTCGTGGCTTAGGTCTTCCAAACTTCCCATGTAAAGTTGTAGCATTTGCAGTCTCGAATGATTGGAATGAAGACTCAAAAGCTTCTTCTGCTGCTTCAACGTATGGCATCGAAGCAAGCCTTGAGACTAGAATGTCTTCTTGTCCCGATATGATCACTAACTTTTGGTCAACCGCAAACTTAATTTTCTGATGTTAAGTGGATGGAACTGCTCCTGCCGAATGTATCCACAGTCGCCCCAGCAAGAAACTATAAGCTGATGTGATGTCCATAACCTGAAATGTTATGTCAAAGGTGCAAGGACCTATCTGGATCGAGATCTCACTATCCCCAACGACAGGGCTGCGAGCTCCATCGAAAGCTCTTACTATCACAGTACTGGGACTCATATGGGACATATCAACGGGTAACTTCTCTAGCGTGGATCTTGGCATTATGTTTAAAGAAGATCCATTGTCCACAATGACTTTTGCTATTAGGAAGTTTTTACACTTAACTAAGATGTGGAGAGCTTTGGTATGTCCTGTACCCTGTGGTGGTATCTCCTCATCTGTAAAAGTGATGGAGCTAGATGCCGTTATATTCCCCACAACGTTGCTTAAATTATCCACTGTGATGTCTTGTGAAACGAAAGCTTGCTTCAAGGCCTCCAACAGTGTATTCCGATGTGCTTCAGACGATAACAGTAAAGATAATATAGAGATCTTTGCTGGTGTCTGACCTAATTGTTCAATAACTTTGTATTCACTTTGCTTCACTAGCTTTAAAAACTCTTGAGTCTCTTCCTCGGACACAGGTTGTTTAGGACTTACATCCTTTACAACAATTGCCTCCACCAGTTCATCATGGACATCCTCGTGGAGTTTGGCCTTCCCTTTCTTATCCTCTTCCACTTTCTCCTTTTTCTTCTCACTTACTTTCTCTTTATTCATTTCACTAGTAGTTTCATTCACGCGCTTTAGCAGGCTATCCGATGTATAACATCTCCCAGTTCGTGTCAAACCTCCTACTCCGGTGATATTGTCAACTGGGAGTGAAAGAGATGATACATCTTGCCCTACAGTTACCTTGCACTCATATTTCCAAGGCACTGCTTTAGAACTTTTATACTCGAAAGGAGCTGGGACCGTGATATTGATTGGTTTCCGACTGCAGCTGGGTGCATCTGGCTTTTCACGGTAAAAGATGGTGAGGGGTTTTGGCTTAAGAGAATCACTTGAGCCCTCAGCAATCAAGATATCTTCCGCGACATTTGTCCGTTTCTCCAGGTGAGATTTTGTAACAGTAAGGACTTTTGAGTCTAATAACTCTTGAACTTTCATCCGAAAACTGTTGCATTGCTCTAGGGAGTGACTTCTTGCCCCCAACGTGGAACGGGCACGTCAGACTTTCATCATACCCTTTATACTTGAGGTTTGGGCATAGGTATTCCACTGATACATATCCACTGCCCAAGAGAATTTCGAATAGTTCCTCCATAGGGGTTGTAATATCGGCAACCTTACTCTTCGACTCGATCCCTTGGCATTCGATTGCATTTATTTCGACATTATGATGATTCGGCAGCGGATTCTTACTTACATCAGGCCCATTTTCTTTTTTAAAGTTCAACCAACCTGTCTTGATCAAAGCTTGAACCCTGTATTCAATGCAGTGCAGTTCTCTGTTGAATGCCCTATGGCTCCTGCGTGATAGTCACAACGAGCATTTGCATCATACCATCTTAGGTATGGAGGCTGGATCGGATCTACAGGTACAGGTGCCAGCTGATTATTTTGAAATAACTGAGGCATAAGCTCAGTATAAGTCATAGTATGATTATTCTATTTTCAAATTTGTATTACAATAGAAAAGAGTTATGAAATTAAAGTTTGAAAAATTGTATTTTTAAAACAAAGATATTCAATGTTTAGTTACTACATTCTTATTATTTTTAAAAAAAAAACAGAAGACTTAAAAGTCCTTTCATATTAAATAAAATTTAATAAATTTGAAACGTTCTAATTGTTGTATAAAAATAATTTAATAATTTAATTAGTATAAGGAGAGTAAGAACTTTAAATATAGAAAAATGATGAATTTTAAATTATTGACTTAGAAAACAGTTTTTAGAATTGAATTTCAAATACGAAACAGCTTTAAAATTTTGCTATTCAATGTCACAATGGGAGTATACCTTATTTGATTAATCTGACTCCCCTCCTTGAATGACTACATACTGTTGGAATTAGTTTAATAATTAATTCATATGTGGGTAACAAATTAAAGAACAATATATTTGGGCTATTTAATGGGCATATAACTTCTCGTGGTGTGGCTTGTTGAGTAGAAACCAGCCCATTAATCCTAGGGGATTATGGGAAACCCTACGATTAACCTATAAATATATGGTTATGGTCCCCAATACACTATGCTTCTTGAGCCTTCTGTTCCTCATCAAACAGAGAGTATTGCCCATATTTGGTCTGGGTTGCATAGTTGAGGAAGACCATAAACCACAACATCTTGCAGATCATGATCAATTTATCTAATGGTTTCAGGTAATTCTAATCTCTTTATAGATTTTGGTTTTCTTCCATGCTTAGATCCTTGGCCTTGATTGTTCTAGAATTTTATGGCTTTAATTTTAGAATAATCATGAATTAGGATTTGTTTAAAATTTCCAACAAGTGGTATCAGAGCAAGTTTTGCATGGATGATTAGTGGATCTTTAATAGTTAAGTTCATTGTTCTTTTAATAACTTATTTATTTAAACAAAAAGTTATTAAAATTATTTGGATTGATAAGATGTTTGAACAATTTTCACATGATTAAAATTCTTAATTGATTGAAAATTGTTCAAATTTATCCCCGACTAATTTGATAAAGTTTATTTTTTTTATTAACAAATTAGTTGTGACGATGAATCTTTAGTTTTTATTAAAAGAAAAATTAAAGAAATTGCGGCACTCCAATAAGGTGTCGTTTGAAGATAACGGCTGGTGCATGAAGATAATGCCCTAGCACCAACTATTTTTAAATGTTGCAGTGCGCAAACTCACAGATGTTTTTTTTTTGTGGCTATTTATTTAATTTTTAATAATTATTTATCTAGTTATCAATTTATATTTTGTTTTGAATATTCTGGGCGAATTTAAATATAGAGGTCGATTTAATTTTCCTTTTATGTTGTGCTAATTAAAGATTGTTGATTATGGTGAATAAATTAACAATTTAATCAATACTTTGCACAATTTTTAAATTTCTATGAATGTTTTGATTTAGAAATATTATTGTTAATTGTTGAAAATAACTTAGGTATTTTATTTTCATATGGAAACAATTAATAATAATTAAGTAATAATTTTGTGAGATTTGAGTATTGTTGTTTATGCGAATTGTGATCGGCCCAAAGGAAGGTCACAATTTGGCCAAATAACAAATACACTTACAATTATGGAATTAATTATTGATATTAGATTATTGTGCTGCAATTAGTGCTCCGTAGCTTATGTTGAATTGTTGATGAGTTATAATATCAATAATATTCCTTTTGGGAAAATCCAGTTTTTATTTTTTATTTCTAGATTTAATAAATTGTTTAGAGGACTTTTCCCATTATTAAATTATGCATATAAAGATATTATATAATTTTGAAAATAATTTTGGTAGTTTTATTTTCATAAAGATAAAATTAATAATAATAAAGTTATATATGTTACATAATTGTCTGATCTTTTTGGTTGGTGTTAATTTGATGAATCATGCTACCAAAGTAGCCTCTGATTTCTGATATTGATATCTTTCAAAATTATCAGATGTTTGTGGATTTGTGTATTTATGCACTCTATAATCGGCCCAAATGAAGACTTCAGTTTGGCCAAATAATAGGTCCACATATAGTTAGATGGTGATAAACATGGATAATATAAAGTTATGTCATGTGAGTGATTGCCGACCCAAAGGAATGCTTTCACTTGACATGATTGATTATCAATGTTTGATTACCACATGGAGAGTACCACTTGCAAGTTGATATTGTCGGTCCAAAGGAAAGCTATCAATGTTGTGTTAGGTATCTTGTTGTCCTCATTGAGTTTAATTATAAAGTATTTTTATAAATACTTAAGGTTAATTTCGAGGATGTTTTATTATTGAATTAGTTATTGTTAAATATTATTTAATTGCCTTACTGTGTATTTAAGAATAATTTCTATTTAAGTTTGCATGAATTTTTGATAAAGAAAGGAAACACTTCAACTTTTACAAATCAATATCCCTCTAAGGTTTAATTGGGATCTTGAAAAGTTGGAGTAACCTTAATTACATAAGCATTATGACGGTGTTTTGCAACATTCAACGAGATTATGAGGAAATAATTAGGAAAGTTCCTTAAGGATTGTTTTGAAAAGTACAAAAGGAATATACTTTAAATTTTTGTTGACTATTTCTTAATAAAGAATAAAGGAACACTAGTGAGTACACCAAAGGATCTAATGCACAAAATTTAAAATTTTCAAGGATTTACTTGTGCATTTGATACCATTTGAGACATTATACAGTAAGTATGTAGTGGGTTATGATACTTATAACTGATGTTTCAAAGAAAATGGGTTAAGTAAGAAAAGATAAAATTGTACTCATTAATTGTTTATTTCCT